TCATGGTGTTATGAGTTTTTCTATTTTGACTATAAATATAGAATAGAATAGAAATATAAAATAGACTCAAAACACCATGTTTTCTGTCTTTCTATTTTGACTATCATGGTGTTTTGAGTCTTTCTATTTTGACTATGATGGTGTTTTGAGTCTTTCTATTTTGACTATCATGGTGTTTGAGTCTTTCTATTTTGACTGTATGGTGTTTGAGTCTTTCTATTTTGACTATCATGGTGTTTTGAGTCTTTCTATATTGAATAGAAATATAGAATATAATAGAAATATGAAATAGAAAGACTCAAAACACCATGTTTTCTGTCTTTCTATTTTGACTATCATGGTGTTTTGAGTCTTTCTATTTTGACAAGCATGTTGTTTTGAGTCTTTATTTTTTGACTATCATGGTATTTTGAGTCTTTCTATTTTGACTATCATGGTGTTTTGTGTCTTTCTATTTTGACTATGATGATGTTTTGAGTCTTTCTATTTTGACTATCATGGTGTTTTGAGTCTTTCTATTTTGACTATGATGGTGTTTTGAGTCTTTCTATTTTTACTATGATGGTGTTTTGAGTCTTTCTATTTTGACTATGATGGTGTTTTGAGTCTTTCTATTTTGACTATGATGATGTTTTGAGTCTTTCTATTTTGACTATCATGGTGTTTTGAGTCTTTCTATTTTGACAGTGTAGGAAAGATAATGGGAGAAGAAAGGTGGATCAAGAGCAGAGAGGGATGAGAAGATGAGAGGAGTTTGAGCTAGGAAACTCTACTCCTCCCTCTATTCTCCCCTCTCTCTCTCTCTCTCTCTTCCCTCTCCTCTATCTCTCCATATCTCCCCATTGCTTCCCCTCTCCATCTTTTCCTCTCCTCTTTCTTCCAAATATCTTTCCCTCGCTCTCTTCCATGTCTCAAGCACCCCCTATCCACCCACCCACCCCTCCCCTCCCCTCTTCACATGCCAGGATTCCCCCTCGCCCCAGTACGGGCTTGAGAGAGCTGTAATCTAATTGGCTGCTGGCTGACTGTGGCACGTGCTGGAACGTAGTGACTTTCATCTCCTCCCTCCTCTCCATCTCCTTCCCCATCCACTTCCCCCTCTCCTTCTCTCCCATCTGATCCACCGCTGACAAGATCAGAGAAAGAGAAGATGGGAAAGAGAGAGAGAGAGAGAAAGAGAGTTAGAGATAGAAAAATGGAATGGAAGAGAGACAAAAAGAGAGGGGGGATAGAGAGGCAACGAGATGTGGATGTGGAGAGGGGGATTAAAGAGAGGGGGGATAGAGAGATAGAGGCAATGAGATGTGGAGGATGGAGACAGCAAAGGACAAAGAGAGGGAGAGAGGAGAAAATAATGACAGAAAGAAAGAGGGAGAGGTGAGAAGAAAGAGAGAATGAGAGTGTTGATGGCAGGGCCCCAGGGGACTGTCACCATCCCACCAGCACACTCTCTCTCTCTCTCTCACTCACGCACTCACACACACACACACTTTCTCTTTCTCACACACACACACCACCTCTTCTCCTTTTTTGACACCAATTTCTCAAACCCAAAACCACCCCACAGACTTACTTTACTTTACTTTTTATCATTACAACGCTCTTTTCCAACGCACAGTGTGAAACAATAAATTTTTTTTTTTTTTTTTTTTTTT